TCCATAATTATAAACTACTGATATAATCTACTAATCATTCATCTCTAGTTAACATCTGTTTAATTGTAAATCATAACCATTCTTGTTAAATATTAAAAGTTGGTCTGTACTTTCAGTCAACCGGAGTCTAGAAGGCAGGTAAATTATCGATTTTGCACATTAAATCTTTAACTTCTATGATAATTTTGTGAATAGTGATGCTCGAATTCCAACTTATTCCCAGGTATAGCACATCAGTCTAATTTAAAAATGCACTTAGAAAAGCATGGTTTAAACTGCCTTAGTAGGTTCTAGCATTTTCATTGATACCTCTTGTTAGGTCAACTCAATCTTCATTCCAACTTTTCTCTTTCCTTCCTCTCCTGAGTAATGCTGTTATATTTGCTTCCAATATGCTGCAACCATATCAGAATGTAGGAAATTTTTGAAAAACATAACCACCACAGCCGCAAACAATGAGGCTATCTCTTTTACAATCACATAATGCAGTCCATCACATCCTGGTATTTTGGCAGCTTTTAGTCCCTTATATTTCTCAAGTACTTTTTCTCTATTGATATTAATTACCTCAAATTCCCCTTTTTTTGGCCCTCCATTACCCAACCATTCTGGTTGTGCAATTAGTATTTATTACTGTGAAGATCGAAACAACGTATAGTAAACATCTCACCCACTTCCTAATTCCTGTGATTATTTATCTTGCCTGTGTATCCAAGAAACTAAGGTTTATTTTAGCTCACTTGCCTTTTATATACCCGGCATACAAGCCTTTTCTTTTAGTGTAATACCATCTATAAGTAGGCGAGATTCACCTGTGGCTAAGTATTTTTTTCAATTAAATGCATTTTTGTTTAACATTGTATGATTTCAAAAGGGAGTTGGACATACTCCTGTTCCTATTTTGTATGTTTTTATTTTTAATTGTTTCTTTGAATGTGTCCCACTGCTTACTTATTGCCAGACTTTTCAGTCTATTTACCCAGCTCTCATCTCACAACTATGTAACTGGCTTTAAAATTTGACATTATTGTTTGGAACTGGAGTATGTTCTTTTCAAACTTAATATTCATTTATATTATGACCACCTTTTCACAGATTTATAATTAGCATTTGTTTATTAAAAACAATATACCAGAGATGCTGCAAAATTGGAAATAAAAATGGAAAAACTCAGCACATCTCGTAGCATCTTGGAGAGATTTCAAAGACTCTTTCTTAGAAGTGGAGGAGGCTGGAAAATAATGGTTTTTATGCTGTTCATAAAAGGGATGAGCAAGTGGAACAGATGCTGAGGGTTACCAGAGCAAAAGACAAAGGGAATGCTAATACTGCTAAGTGAAATATGTAAAACAGGTGTGGATGGTTCATTTGTAGAAGAGAAAATAGGTCAACTTTGAGTGCAAAGCCAACAAGAACACAAACGCACAAGTGGAGAATGAGGTGCTGTTGAGCATTGAGGGCTTCACTTAACACGAGTTACCTTTAATAACATATTTTCATCTATTCATTGTTAGTTTCTCTTCTTGTCGGGCTTGCAATAATCAATCCTTTGTCTTCCTAACTTTTCTCTCTCTCTCACTGGGTTCCAATGCCACCCAATTCAGTCATTCTCTCACCTTTCCCTGCAATATACCCTTCAACATAAATACCAACTTTTTCTAGTTGCTATCAGGTCTGAAGAATAGTCACTGGACTCAAAGTGTTAACTCTTCATTTCCTCTACACAGGTGCTGCCAGACCTGCTGAGTTTCTCCAGCAATTTGTTTTTGTTCATTTCAGGAATACCATGGCAGTCTTGTTTGTGTATTTTGGGAAGGTATGTGGAGTTGAGGAAACTGAGGAGGGGACATGTTCAACAGAGACGAGGTCAGTGACATTCCTGGAATCAAGAGTTTAACGTTCAATGGTGTGGTCATGGTCCAGGGAGAAAGGAAGAAGTGCACAGGAGTTGACATTCAGCTTCTGCAAAATGGTTGTTAGGAAACAGATGACAACAGCACCTCCGTTATCAGCAGGTTTGATAATGAAGTCAGGGTTAGACCCAAAAGGATTAGTACAATGAGTTCAAAGCGAGTAATATTAGAATACAAAGGGATCTTGGGGAAAAATTCCATAGCTCCCTAAAAGTGGCAACAAAAGTGGATTAAAAAAAAGGCATACAGCATGCTTGCCTTCAGTCAGGGCAGTAAGTATTAAAGTTGGCAGGTCATGTTGCAACTGTACAAAACTTTAGTTAGACCTTATTTTGAGTATGGTAAGCACTCTGGTCACCACAATATAGGGAAAATATGGAGGCTTTGGAGAGTAGTTTACCAGGACATTACCTGGATTGGAGTGCATTAACTATAAGGAGAGTTGGACAAACTTGGATTACTTTCACTAAAGGTTGAGGCAATGTAATAGAAGAATGTAAAACAATGAGGCATGGATTGGACTGATACTCGGAATCTTTTTCCCCAGGGGGAAATAGGTTTATGGTGAGAGCGGAAAAGTTTAAAAGGAGATATCCAGCATCGGCAGTTCTTACTATCTCAAAGTTTAAAGGAGATGTGCAAGGGAAGTTTTTTTTAAAACACAGAGGGTGGTAGGTGCCTGGAACACACTGCCAGGGGAGGCAGCAGACACAAATTTTATGAGGCATTTAGAGAGACAAACTAACAGACAGGAAATAAAGGGATATGGACCATATGCAGGCAAAGGGATTAGCTTAGAATGGCATCGTGGTCAGCACAGACATGTTGTCCAAAGGGCCTGTTCCTGTGCTCTGCTGTTATATGTTCTCATCAGTGAGGGGAGCAAAGAAATTAAGGCAGCTCATGTCATGTCAACAGTTCTCAATAAAGAGATGAAATGCAGAGAAGACGACAGGAGGCTGGGTATTGAAGATAGGTGAAAGGGTCCATGGAGCAAGGAGGAGGGCTCCTGTCCAGAGAAGTAGGCAAGGAGGCAAAGGCGATGATCAAAGAAGAGTTTGGCATCATATTGTGCAGTATGGTGGCTCAGTGGTTAACACTGCTGCATCACAGAGCCAGGAGCTGCGTTCAATTCCACCCTCGGGTGACCGTGCCTGGAGTCTGCACGTTCTCCTTGTGTTTGCATGGGTTTCCTCCCAAGTTCAAGGATGTGCAGGTTAGGTGGATCAGCAATGCTAAATTGGCCCATAGTGTCTAGGGATGTGTGGACTGACCATGGGAATTGCAAGGTTACAGGGACAGGGTGGGTCTGAGCAGGAAGTTCTGAGGAGGTTCAATTGGCCAAATGGCCTGCTCCCACACAATTAACCCTGTTCATTATACAATGCCATATCTAAAAATGCATTTCTCCTAATTGGTTCCACTTTTGCAAAAGCAATTCCTCGAAATCAGTCAGTGCATTGAGTACAGGGGTTGGGAAATCATGCTGCAGCTGTATATGACATTGGTTCAGCCACTTTTGGAGTACTGAATGCAATTCTGGTCTTCCTGCTATAGGAAGGATGTTGTGAAGCTACAGAGGACATTGTCAGGGTTGGAGAGTTTGAGCTATGGGGAGAGGATGAATAGGCTGGGGCTATTTTCCCTGGAGCTTTGGAGGTTGAGACCTTATAGAGATGTATAAAATCATGAGGGGTATGGATAGGGTAAACAGGCAAGGTATTTTCCCTGGGCGGTGTCTAAAACTAGTGGACATAGCTTTAAGGTGAGAGGAGAAGGATAATAAAAGGGAGCTAAAGGACAACATTTTCATGAAGAGAGTGATGCATGTATGGAATGAGCTGCCAGAGGAAATGATGGAGGCTGGTATGATTACATTTAATAGGCATCTGGATGGGTATATTAATAGGAAGGGTTTAGAGGGATATGGGCCAAATGCTGGCAAATGGGACTAGATTTATATAGGATATCTGGTTAGCACGGACGAGTTGGACCCAAGAGTCTCTTTCCATGCTGTATATCTCTACGACTCTAGAACTGATTTTCAACCTCACCTTTGCTAATTTGATTGGACCAATCTGCGCAGAAAAATCAGAAACAAAAAAACCCGGAAATTGCTGGAAAAGCTCAGCAGGTCTGGTAGCATCTGTGAAGAAAAACCAGAGTTAATATTTCGGATCCGGTGACCCTCACAACGAATACACTGCCTCTACCATAAACATCTTAACGCTCTCATGTCCATTTGCAACGATAGCATCCACGTGTAATCGGCCAATCTGTAAATTTACAAACAAATCACGCACCGATAAACAAAGCTTTTTAACTATAAATGTCCTTTTATCGCTGTGTGCAAAACACTGACGTCTTTAGCGAATAAACGCACTTATAGAAACACTTTAATATGTATGGCTTGTATTGTTGGTGCCAGTTTTAAACCATTGATGTAAAGAGGGAATATTTTCAATAAAGAAATGAAATTCCTTTCCCTCTATAACGATGACCTGAACGAAATCACAATAACCTGCGACTTGAAATATGAGACTACAGGTACGCAGATTGCGCAAAAACAGCTATTCTCCCATTTTCCCCCAAAACGGGAGTTGCACCACTTCAAAGCAATTACTTTTAAAAATAGCCAGAACCCGTCTCATATCACACGATTGGGGATCACAAAAATTTGAGACGAAAATTCTCGTTAAGTTATCCAGCACGGTGATGGTTGTGAAGCCAGACTATGACAACATATGAAAGAGGACAGGACAATGGCCGTTTCTCTATATGATTCGTTGGAAAATTTCTGCCTCATCGATCTTAAGTGTGTGGATGCGCACTACCGCAGCAGTATGATGCTGAAGATGAATCGGTAATCAACGGGCAATCCAACGGAGGGATAATTGCAGCCGCGTGAGCCGCCTTGCACTCGAGGACAGCTCGCGATCTGTCAATCACCGTCCGCCTCATCATTTTAACTCCCACGTCACCATGGAGACCCCGCAACGCTCTAGAACACACGCCCCCCCCCCCCCCCCCAAAAGAAAACGGTTTCGTGCTTGAGGGAAGGAAGAAAGCGAGCAGCGCAGCCCACACCTTAGTGAGCACCTCCTTTTTTTCATCTTTCTCTTTGCGTTTCTCCCCTTCCTCTCTGTCTCTGAACTGGATCTCCACTCGCCGCTCACGCCCCTTGTTCTCTTTCTCTTCTTTCATTCCGCACACTCTTCACTCCACCGCCTATCACTCGCACACCCTCTCAACCTCTCGCTGTGCTCGTGCTCGTGGTAACACGTCTCGCGATGACGCGCACGCTCACAGGCCTCCTCCCTGCTGGTGCTCCCGGATGGGCTGACTCCGCCCTCTCCATCCGCCCTCTCCAACCGCCCAGCCGGGCGCGTGCTTTGAGATAACGCGGTGTAGAGCGTGCTCTATTGTTTTTGACGACATTCGCGTTGAGTTCGCTAGAATGCTTAAGGGCATGCAATATAGGAGCGATACTTTGTCTTCAAAGTCTCTACGTTTAAAGTTGATCATAGAGATAATACATTTATCTATTGACTATGGAACCGATCCTTAAGGTGTACATCAATGTGTTTTACAGGTTTAGGATAAATTCCTGAAGAATGTCGTCTGAAATTGGAGGTTGTAAAACCAACTCAGTATGTATTGTGGAAAGTCCTGGCTGCCTCCAGGCTTGATAGACAAAGTATGAAGATCTGGAAAAGGCAGTGACAGCTACAATAGGATGGTGGCAATGAAGTAATCTGAAAAACTGAGAGTATGCCTTGACTCAAAGGATCTAAATACAGATCTGATAAATTCTCACTACCCCATGCAAACCATCAAAGGAATTTTGTAACAACTTGAAAAGGCAATTTTATGTCACCACCCTAGATGCGAAGATGGGTTACTCGGAAATGAAGCTGAATTAAGACAGTAGCTTTCTCACTACAATCTGAATGCTGACTGGGATTTACAAATAGTTGCACAGAAACAAAAACAGAAAAACTCAGCAGGTCTGGCAGCATCTGTGGAGAGAGCAGAGTTAATATTTCAGGTCCCTGACCCTTCAGAACCCTTCAAAACCTGAGTTTTCCCAGCAATTTCTATTTTTGCTTTTTATTTCCAGCATCTGCAGTTCTTTGGTTCTTCTGTTCGAATCGTTGCCGAGTTGTGATGGAGAAACACTCACAATGTTCATTCTGTTTTCTCCCCAATTACATGGCCAGATCTGCTGAGTTTTTCCAGCAATTCTGCTTTTGTTTCAGGTAGTTGTACATTTAATTTGGCATTTCAAAAGCTCCAGAGAAGTATCAAGGTAGGCAGCATGAGATGATGAATGACGTTCCTGGAGTCAAAGTGATAGTGGATGATGGATATGGTGTATTGGGCATATAGAGATGAATTGACAGTCCAAGATTGCGTATTATACAAAACAAATGGAATCATTGTCCCTAAAGAGTTGGAATGAGAGATGCTAAGTAGTTTATGGATATGGAGACATAATGAACGATCCTGACCATATTGAAATGTATTATGGTTGCTGGACAGAGATTGCCAGCTGAAGCTGGACAATTAAAAATAATAAGTAGAATGCTCATAAGCACGGACATAGGTCATGTATGGACAACAAAAAGTCTTTCTCTAAGTTCCAAAAAGGTGAGAACTGTAACAGCAGTGGAGAGACCAATAGATATAATAACAGTCCAACGATTTGTTGGATTTATAAATCAGATCATCGTATTGAGTTTTTGGAGACAGTAGGAACTGCCGATGCTGGAGTCTGAGATAACAAGGTGTGGAGCTGGTCCCGAAACGTCAGTGTTCCTGCTCCTCTGATGCTGTCTGGCCTGCTGTGTTCATCCAGCTCCACACTATGTTGAGTTTTTGAGTGTTGTTAGAGCCGTACCCGTCAGGCAAGTAGAAAATATTACACCAAACTCCTAACATTAGGAGATGGACAGCGTTTGGAGAGGCAGGAGGTGAATTACTCACTGCAGAATTCTTAGCTTCTAATCTGCTTCACCCTGCAATGAGATGCCAATAAGGCAAGATTTGCCCTAATATCACAGAGACAACTGGCTGGAGATATCATCTGGATGGAACATACGAGCAAAGCAAACACATGTACACGGCTGAAATGCTGTCCAGAGTAGAATTTATTATATTGGAAGTTGATGATGCTACATCAGAGTGTGAAATCTTTTACATCTAACATGAATCATCTACTCAACATGCTCTGGAAGCCAGCAACACAGCATTAACATTGAGTTTATCAGACCCCAATCAAGAAAACCATCTAACAAGATCTAAATTTTCAAGTGTTGTAAGAAGCGATGAAGGAAGAATGGTCTGCAAGCAGCAAGGACAGTCCTGTGGTCACAAGGGTGTATTGGGCAAGAAGAGATGAATTGACAGTCCAAGATTGCGTATTGTACAAAAACAAACAGAATCATTGTCCCTGAGGAGTTGAAATGAGAGATGCTAAGTGCATCCATGCAAGACAGCAATGGAATTGAGTTGAATTTGTGGAAGATAAAAGAAGTTTCTGTTTGTTAAACATGAGCAATTAAACCAAAGATCACATCAGCCAATGCATGCCTGTGATGCATGCCAGGCTAGAGAGCTGTGGATAACATGACATTTTAGATAGACCGTGGATGAAGCTGGAAGTGGATCTCTTCACTCTTGCAGGAACTGATTATCTTGTCACCGTAGACTAATATTCTGACAACTGGGAGGTAGACCAACTGATTTATTCAAGTACTGAGATTGTAGAATACCTGAAAGCACACTTCTGCCATTTAACTGCTCTCTGCCTCTGAATGCTTTGCCTTGATTGTTTAATATATTCAACAGTACAACTGAGATTCTCCAGATTTCTGGTTTAACAGGTAAAAGCTCATGAGAACATTACATAAATATTGATTGGATACCTTGTAAGTGCAAGGTAGTACTGAGTGCAAATTATGCATAACAAAGACTTGTTTCAAATAACTTGTTGCTATTTTTTGAAAGGTAGAGACATAACAATTTATAGAAATCATAGTTATGTATGCTTTCACTGGAATTGCATTCTGGGAGGATGTTTCCCCTTATGGAGGAGACTATAACTACAGATCTCCCATTGAAGATAGAGATATATTTTGTATAAAAGTGTAAGAGGCTGAAAGGGGTAATGCTGAGGAGTGCATTAAACACCACCGAATTTGTTGATGTTGCATGGATTCAGGCTGGAATAAATTTGGATTGCAAAGGAGTAAAACCTAACATTACTCATTATCTCAGTAACAAATGTCTATCATACCAGTGCAATTAGTACTTGTTGCTATCATGCAATAAACAACATCTTGCTTAAAGCAGGAGTCTGTTCTCAATAGACTACCAGGTAGGTTTCCTCTACCACACTAGATCAAGAAGGCCCTGGACATCTTCAAGAAAGAGGATAATGACAGCAAATTACCAGATAGACCTAATATCTTGATGAGTTATAGAGCAGATTCATCTTACAACCTGGTAGCAAGCAGTGCAGATGCTATTTAGCTGTAGCATACAAAGATCCTACAGACACAGCTTGAAGAAAACTGCTCAAGTAGGCAGCAGTTAAAAGAGATGAACATTTGAGAACCTTACAAAAGAGAGTTTCAGGACAAGATTCTGGAAGGCAAAATCTACAGTTGATTGTAAGAAGCATTTCAAACCTGGTAAGGGGCATACAGCAGCAAGAGTGAGCTAGCAACATGATGGAACACCAAGCAGTGCAGATTGCATCAGGTGCTGATAATTTGTAAGACTGGTCCTGATTCAGGTTTCAGCTAAAGAGCAGATAGACATGAGATGCTCTGTGAGTAAAAGTTAAATCCCTGCTGGGCAAGGGATAACTTTAAAAAAAGGCATAGTTTACAGGTTGTGATACCTTCAAGTAAGCACAGTACTTACATTTTTGCTGAAGAAAGGTCCCAACCCGAAACGTCAACTTTCCTAGTCCTCTGATGCTGCCTGGTCTGCAGTGTTCTTCCAGCTCCACGCTGTGTTATCACTGACTCCAGCATTGGCAGTTCTTACTATCTCACAGTACTTACAAGTTCAGATTGAGTGTTGCTGCCATAAAAGCAGGCATAAGGCATAACTACAGTAAAAGGGCCAGAGAACAAGGCTAGAGTTAAAGTGATTAAGGGGCAAATTAGAAGCCTAAACAGACAAAGTCCAATAGAAGAAGAACATAGAACATAACAGCGCAGTACAGGCCCTTCGGCCCTCGATGTTGCGCCGACCTGTGAAACCAATCTGAAGCCCATCTAACCTAAACTATTCCATTATCATCCATATGTTTATCCAATGACCATTTAAATGCCCTTAAAGTGGGCGAGTCTACTATTTTAAAGGTAAGACATTATTGAGGCTACAAACAAGGCAAGAGATCCATTATTTAAATCGTGATAAATGTGAGGAGCATTTATTAAAATTTCACATGGCAGAACTGATCGAGAAAAAAGTAATGAAGCAACAGGGCTTATTAATAATGCCACGGCACTCATACTCTGTCTTCTGGTCTTCCTCATTTTGTCAAACCATTGATCTTGTGTCCTGTTCCTCACCTTGCAGATTTAAGCAATGTTTGTACTTACCGGTGGCTTTTTCTGCTCTCAGTAATAGTGGCCTCCTTCCTTTAACTGGCTCCTTCTGGCATATATGTGATTCAGTGACAACTTTTGGTAATTGATAATAGCTTTATCCAGTTCTTCAAAATCACTATGTCCATCTTCAGTCTACCCATCATCTGTTGTCATCTAGTCCACTTAACTGTCCAACAGATGTGTGTATGATGCTTCATCATTTTATATGATTTGTTCAGATTCTGTAAGTGTGCCGTTAGTGCCAGTTTGCTGAGAAATGTACCCCAACTGTTTGGTGGCCATGCTGTAAAATTACTGTTTTCTCATCATCACTGATAACCTTAGCCAGATCTTTCCACTTTTTCTGCCCATCGCTTTTGTAACACGTCTCGTCCCATGGATTAAAATTTATTTCTGATGTCTTATATACAGGGCCTCCAACACATAGATCATGATTAGTCAATCACAGAGTCTCTGACAATTGATCTCACCACTTACCCATGTTCCCTCACCACGTGCCTCTCAAGTGTCCTGTCACTGCATGACTTCCGTTTCTGGAAGCTGCACAACTGGAGGGAAGTCTTTTCAGATTTTACCAGCAAATTGCATTGTGTTTCAACTTAGTCCAGA